CCAGCCAGGTTCATTTGTTTCGGTGGAGCATATGTAGAAATACATAATTTTTGTAAAGAATCTAACCCCGAATTTAAGCTCGTTTCATCAATTTATTTAATAAAATTATAAATTTGTTATATATTTTTTTCTTATCTAGTAATGATATTTTATTTTAATATTGCATATTGATATCTATTTTATATGCTAGAAATTTATTTTATACTTAATTAGTTTTATTTATAAAAAATAAATAAAAATAATTATTTTTACAATTTTAGTATACTAATTATTTTTATTTGAGTTTAGAGATGATTAATTATGTTTGTAAAAAATAAATAATTGAGCTTTTGACCTCAAATTTCAATTTATCTTTTAGTTTGACTAGTGTTCAAGAACGTGCGATGCACGTTGTTACTCGTTGAACATGCTAGTTAGAATAACTATTTATATTTTATTTTTATATATTTTTATTCATTTTTATAAAGACAATATAAAACTTTAATAATTTTAGTTATAATTATTACATGTATAAAAATAGGTACAAAAACACTATCATACATATCTAGTATTTGATGAACAATTTTAATAATTTATTACAATAGATTTTTTGACAAAATAAAATAGTTATAAAGTTGAAAATAAATAACCATTTGATACAAGATCTCACCATATATAAAAATAAATTCATATATAAATTATTGGTAATCAAATTCAAAATTTTTTTTGTGATAGTATATCAAAATAAAAAAAATTCAAAATTTAAAATTAGTACCTCAGCCATTAATAATAATAAAGTGAGAAGTTTTCGATATAACAATACTAAAGAAACTCTTGATAGTAGAGAGTCTTCAATGAATTATTGATAATAAAAGCAAAAAAATTATTGATAGTAGCCAAAGAAAATATAGTTATTATAGTTATTGAATCAAAATAAGACTAAAATCCATTTCAAAATTTAAAAAATTAAAGTAACCTCAGCCCATTAATAATAAAAAGTGAAGAAGCTTTTCGATATAACAATACTAAAAAACTCTTGTTGATAATAAAAGCAAAAAAATTATTGATAGTAGCCAAAGAAAATATAGTTATTTGATAGATTAAATTTTCAATTGAGTTATAATTTAAATATTTGCCCTTTATTAGCATAATAATAAATGTAATATTAAAATCAAAGAATAATAAAATTTCAAACTAAAAATATGCAACAACTAAAAAAAAAAAGAGCTAAATATTACAAATCAATCATGATTTAAATAAATTTTTTTAAAAAATTAATAAATTTATACTAATTGAAAATTAATTAAGAAATTTACTTAGCAGATTAACTATAAAATAATTATACCATTTAAGAGAATGATAACGAAAAAAGTAGCTAACAATATTAACAAAGTAAACAAAAGGAAATGTGAGAAAGAGAAAAGAATTTCAATTTATAATTTATAAATTTAATTATTTTAGATTTTTAATATAAAATAGTCAAGTCCTTTTACAATAAAATTATAAATATAATTATTGCATTTAATATTGATTCAATCAAAACTTTTTACAATAGGATTTTCATTTCTTAATTAAGATTGGATAGAATTTTTCGGTTTCAATAATATTTGATTTAATATTAATAAACATATAATATATATATATTATTATGATTTTATTAATCATTATTATTAGGAATCTAATCTTATATATTTAATTAGTTTATTACATTTTGTATTACTTTAAATATTATTTAATATTAATTAACATTTTGCATGTATTAATTGTCAAGAGAATACAAATTTCAGGTAACCAATACAAACTACATTCACTAAAGTCAATAATATTTATTCCCTACTTTTTTTCGAACTAATAAATTTATTTATTCAAAAGTAAATTATATTTATTTTTTTAACCAATAAAATTAAAATTCTTAAAGTCTTATATTCTTACCATATATATCTTATAAAATATATACTATAATTTATTATTTTATCCAATAAAATTTATATTTAAGTAAGAAATGTATATCTTTAATAATTAAATTAGCTTTATTATTAAATTAGCTTTATTTTTCAACCAATAAAATTAAAATCTTTAATAATTTCCTATTTAGAACTAGATTAAACTTCATATAGTTGCTAGAACATACTAATAAATATAAATAAAGATTATTTTATTAGTTTATAAATAGAGAAAGTTAAGATTATACTTACTACAAGAAGAAGACATGATTGAAACTCAATAATTTTAAAATTAACAAAGCTTAATATGATAATTCTTGATAGTCAAAAGCAACAAATTCGTGATAGTCAAGATTAACAAATTCTTGATAGACAAAACTTAAAAGTAATTAAAACCAAACGTATATATATTAATATTAAAGGACAAAAGTAATTAGTATGATAGGACAAAATCCTAATTAGAATAGTACTAAAGTACAAATTTCTAATTAAAGTGGGATCAAATTTATCATATTAATATAATAAAAATAATAAATTGAAATCATAATTAGAGTAGGATTAAAGTCAAATTTCTAATTAAAATGAGATTAAATTGATAATATTAATAAAAAGAGCCACCAATAAGAGATTAATAAATTTAATATCTTATATTATAATATATTTAAATAATATCTTATATTATAATATATTTAAATTTAAGATATTAAATCATAGTATTTTTATATGTATAGGAATTTCAAAAGTTTGCTAATCAGAATAAGACTAAATTATTTTTAACGATATTTTTAATTAATCAACTAATAAAATACCAATAAAATTAAGAGTTTTCTAATTGGAATAAGACTAAATTATTCTTTAATCAACTAATAAAATTAAAAGTTTGCGGCGGTGTTTTAGGAACCTAATGTTTTCCCTTATTCGCACATGTATATATAATTTGGACATGTAAAAAAATTATGATTTATTATATTATAATTTGAATATAAAATTTCCATAGCTATCTTACTTCCATTGAAATATTTGAAAATTTAAAAAATAAAAAATAAAAGATATGATCTTGACAAATATTAATCTTAAAATCCAAATAAAATTTAAAATTTTATTAATAAAACATAAAATAAAGGGGAGGAATAAAAGAGAAAAAGAAGTGCAAGTATACCAAAGGATTCGGCAGAGAAGAGATATATAGTGAAAATAGCTTTTGAATTTTGGTTAAAACTTTAGCACGGATAAATATTCCGTTGCTAACCCGTTTGTAGATCTTGCAACGGAAAAAAAACCAATGTGTTATAACTTTAGAAACGAAATAATTCCGTTTCTAAAAATATACCAAAGACTGCACCAAAGGAGCGCTATCCACTGAAAATAGCTTCTCAATTTTGGTTACAACTTTAGCAATGAATAAATGTTCTGTCGCCAACCCGTTTGTAGACCATCAGCAGCGGAAGAAAAAACTTATGTATGTTATAACTTTAGAAACGGATAAAATTCGTTTCTGACACGCTTGTAGAACCCTTTGTCCATTCTTAGCAACAGAAAAATAATGAAACAATATTTGTTAATTAATAAAAATAATACAATTAAGGAAAGTAATGTAATCAATCTAATTAAAATTGTTCTATAATTTTAATCAATAAATAAAATTAAAATTTTCATAATTAGAGGGTCCATCTCCTTAAGATATTTCATGATAATGTTATTCAGGAGGAAAAACTTGTAAGTTTGTAATTATTCACGATTACTAAACAATTACAGCTAATCTATAAATTTAGATTATAAGAACTATAAATAAAAACTATTTTATTAATTTATAAATAGAGGGAGAGTTAAGGTATATCTACCGTAAGAAAAAGACATAATTGCAAGCTCAATAATTTCGAATAAGCAAAAGTTTGATGTAACAATTCATGATAGTAAAAAACAACAAATTCTTGATAGCTAAAAGTAATTAAAACTAAATATATATAGAGTAGTATGATAGGACACATTCCTAATTAGAATGAGATTAAATTTATAATATTAATATAATAAAAATAATAAATATAAAAATTCCTAATTAGAATGAGATTAAATTTATAATATTAATATAATAAAAATAATAAATTGATATCATAATTAGAATAAGATTTGTAATAATATTTTTGTCAATTCATAAACTTAGTAGGAGCGTTTTGGAAACTCAATGTTCTCACTCATTTGTATTTTTATATATATTATAGATAGATAGATTAATTTTCGTTAACAAACGAATTTTGACTAAAACTACTCTTGTGATTCAGAAGACTATTGAATTGAATATTTTTTTTTATACTTGCATGAAGTATTTAGGCCCATATCTGTTTTAAATGTCCACAAATTTAACTAATTTTCGCTCGATCTTAGAGATAAAGAGTTAGTCCGGAGGATGTTTGCGTCGTGGAAGATCATATCCATGATCTTACGTTACAGCAATCAACTCCATAAATACTTTTTGCGACTGAGCTATCATATTCGGGTTATTAAAATGAATATTAATTTGGATAAAAAATTGCAATTTAGTAATTTCGATCAAGCGAACCAACATTTGGGATGCAGGAGTAGAATATGATGAGGAATAAATTTTTTAAAGTATAACTTTTCTTTCACAAATGCTTAAATATATTATATACATAAATTGTTTCCTTGAAAAAAATTTTTTTTTCCCTAATATAGTAATTTATAAATTGTAGTTCCACCTCGGCCCAGGGATGAATAAAATTATGTTAAAATTGAAAAATTAAACCAATTTAATTCAGTTTTTAATTTAATATTCTTGATTATTAAAAGAAAATATTAATTAAATAAAATCTAACCTAACTGATCTAAATTGGATCAATTAATTAAGTTCAATATCAATTCAGTTTAAGAAAGCATGGAACTTCGGTTTTCGGTTTGGAACCGAACCGACGGAATCCTCAATTCTCCTGATAATCAATCTTTTATGTGTGCCCTAGAAATTGCCGTAAGACTACTTATTTTAGTCCATCTGTTTGGGCCTAGTACTGCGATTGAGCCCATTTATTAATCTTTCAGTTCCCTCCAATCATTTTTCTAATTCATTGATATTAATTCGCTACCACACTTTTCGAGGTCGGACCAGAGAAAACCCTAAATTTGCCATTCAATTTCTTCTTCGAATTGCAATTCAACAAGAACAAAATAAGGTGAGTTACGTTCTTCTTTCAATTCTTCAATTATCTCCACCATAAAGTTTTTGGTCTATTTTTAGTGACTGTATCTTGAATTGTTGGATAGAGTATTGAACCATACTGTGACTGTAAAATTCGAAACGAGGATATCACTTTGAAGTTAGATATGATGGTTTGTTCATATAGCTATATTGGGATTTGTTTTGAGAGTTGAGAACTGTGATTTTGTTTGGTTTGAGACTCTAATTTGAGTTAAAAGAGAAATGGGTTTCAAATGGAATCAGGAATCTGTTATTGTGGCCCCTTAAGTTTTCTTTTTCTTTTTTTCAAGAAGAAAATTGGTGCTATATGATGGGTCTTATGTGGAACTAATAATTGAGAAATAGACAGTTGACAGTAGTTTGCTTTTAGATGACTTGGGAAAATTAGAAGAGACTTCTTTACTTGTGTTTTTGATGGTTTTCCTTTGGAACTGCTGCCTAAGAATTACTTTTGTGAAGCAATTTTGGTTGTAGTTGATAAGTGAGTGATACTGAAGTGCAAAATTTGTTCTGTTCTTATGATGCAAGCTTTATGAATATGAATATGAGTTTGAGTTGAAAAGTTGGATTGTAGATCGTAAGACAATGGAAACCCAGGAGAAGGATGTGCTGGTAACAAAGAGGTCACTGAGGAAGAGAGCAAGTTTGCGAAATTATGACGAAAATTTGATGGATGAGTTGATAGAGACGCATTTGGGTGGTTATTTGAAGAAAAAGAATCGATCAAGAGAGGATTTGGAAAAAGAGACAGAAACAGAGGCGATGATAGCAATATCTCTGGGGTTCCCGATTGATGCATTACTTGAAGAGGAGATACAAGCTGGGGTGGTAAAAGAATTGGATGGCAAAGAGCAGAATGATTATATTGTTGTGAGGAATCATATCCTTGCTAGGTGGAGAAGTAATGTGAAGGTTTGGCTATCAAAAGTACAGATAAAAGAAACTGTGAGCAATGAGTATGGGCATTTACTATCTGCTGCGTATGATTTTCTTTTGTACAATGGGTATATTAATTTTGGGATTTTGTCATCGCTAACATGCCCTATACCAGAATTGATGAATGAAGGGTCTGTGATAATTGTTGGTGCTGGACTTGCTGGTCTATCGGCAGCAAGGCAACTCATGTCCTTTGGTTTTAAAGTTGTTGTTTTGGAAGGTAGGAATCGTCCTGGTGGGAGAGTTTATACTCAGAAAATGGGTAGGGCGGGCCAGTTTGCTGCAGCGGATCTCGGAGGCAGTGTTATTACTGGTATACATGCTAATCCTTTGGGAGTTCTTGCTAGGCAACTTTCTATTCCACTCCATAAGGTCCGAGATAACTGTCCATTGTACAAACCAGATGGGGCACCTGTTGATAAGGAAGTTGATTATAAGATTGAATTTATCTTCAATAAGTTACTTGACAAAGTCATGGAACTTAGAAAAACAATGGATGGCTTTGCAAATTATGTTTCCCTGGGTTCAGTTTTGGAGAGACTTAGGAAGCTGTATACTGTGGCTAAAAGTACAGAAGAGAAGCAACTGCTGGATTGGCATCTTGCTAACCTGGAATATGCAAATGCAGGATGTCTCTCAGATCTGTCAGCTAATTATTGGGATCAAGATGATCCTTATGAAATGAGCGGGGACCATTGCTTTCTAGCCGGAGGGAACTGGAGATTGATAAAAGCACTGTGTGAAGGGGTTCCTATATTCTATGGGAAGACTGTGAATACTATTAGATATGGGAGTGAAGGAGTTATGGTTATTGCTGGTGACCAAGTATTTCAAGCAGATATGGTCCTATGCACTGTGCCTCTTGGAGTTTTGAAGAAAAGAACCATTAAATTTGAACCAGAGTTACCCAGAAGGAAGCTTGCAGCAATTGATAGATTGGGTTTTGGGCTGCTTAATAAAGTGGCGATGGTTTTCCCCCATGTTTTTTGGGGTGAGGACCTGGATACTTTTGGTTGTCTTAATAAGCATAGCAGTAAGCGTGGAGAGTTCTTTTTGTTCTATGGTAACCACACTGTTTCTGGGGGTCCAGTGCTTCTTGCACTGGTGGCTGGTCAGGCTGCACAAACATTTGAATCTACAGATCCATCTATGTTAGTTCACCGTGTTTTGAGTGTTCTCAGAGGTTAGCTTGATTATTTGAGTTCACTAAATCAGTTTTGTTTTTAAACTTCCCTTGAGTGCTTCTCTCCTCTCTATATCTTCCTCTTATATCTCTTATTTTTACTTATGGCTTTTCTTTCAGGTATATACAATCCAAAAGGCATTGATGTTCCAGATCCCATACAAACAATTTGTACAAGATGGGGCAGCGATCCCTTTAGTTATGGTTCCTATTCTCATGTTAGGGTGCAGTCATCTGGCAGTGACTATGATTTACTAGCAGAAAGTGTAGGGGGGCGGCTATTTTTTGCTGGTGAGGCGACAACTAGGCAATATCCAGCAACAATGCATGGTGCCTTCATGAGTGGTTTAAGAGAGGCTTCTCGCATTTTAAGAGTCAATAGAAGCTGGCAAAATTATTCAAGGAAGTCTGTGCAGAGGAGTGTTGGTCTAAGTAATGATACATGGTTAGATCTGTTCAGGAGACCAGACCTAGCATTTGGAAATTTTTCATTTATATCTAATCCCTTGACGGAAGACCCACAATCAATGGGTATTATGAGAGTTACTTTTGATAGTTGCAGAGATGATCTGAAGAAGGAACCAAGGACTGGCTTCCAAAATTCTTTGAAGCTGCCATTGCAGCTTTATGTAGTGCTATCTCGTCAACAGGCAAATGATTTACAATTGATGACCGGGAGTAATGAGGACAAGCTATCATATGTGACTAAAAACTTGGGCCTAAAGCTAATGGGACCTAGTGCACTGGTAAATGTTGCTACTCCCTTGATTTCTAGCATTACTAATGCAAGAAGAGGACGGGGCAGGAACCGCATAATCTTCAATAACATACTTCTGTGTAGAGATCAGTTGCATGAAGTATCCTGATGCAAATATATGCACCAGGTGATGGGTTTTAAATTTCAGTGTCTTTTCACTCCTAAGTTGCAGAATTCTGTATATAATCTAGCTGTGTAGGTTCTTCACATACTAGGAGAGCAAGTAATTCTTGGAGTTTGACTAAGAAGACCCATTTGTTTGCTTATTCTTTTATCTGAAGATGACTAGCATAGACACAGTGGCTAAACAGAGCCATGAAAGTTTCACTATAGCTGAAAGTTGTTTGTATCATGCTGCTGATTCTTGAGAGGAACTATAGGAACAGAAATTGTAATTTTTGTATTTGTATGCTATATTTCTGTGTCAAACAATAATTGGACAAGATATATGAAACTATATATATTTGAGCGACAACAATTATGCTAGAAGAAATATTTATTAGCACATTAATTATGCGTTACGAGTTTCAAATTACATATAATGTAATGATAATAATTATTGAAGATTTGTAATTGTTCATTTGAGAAATAAAAGGTAGGGATTGGAATGACGAACCATACAGACGCTTCTTTTTTTTTTTTTAATAAAAAAAAAAAAAGTAGGATTTGGAATGACGAACCATACAGACGCTTGCTTTTTTTTTTTTTAATAAAAAAAAAAAAAAGCCTGCCTGAAAATTTTTTTTTTTTTTAATAAAAAAAAAAAAGCCTGCCTGAAAATTAAGGTGCGGCGTTTTGCATGAAATCAACACAGGTGCGGCAGTTGCAGTCGAGAAACCTGCACTTGAGGCACCCAAAGCAGACACAGGAAGTGCAGCCACTGCATGACGGCCAGTCAGGACAGCCTCTGCAGTTCTTGCGACTGACCCGCTCTTCGTCATCCTTGCAGGTTATTCTACAAAAATACACCAACACATACAAATAATCATATGATATGATACGAAGGAAAGATTTTACCTACTTAGGCGTATGAGCCATGGAAAAAAGAATAAAACAGTAACAAATTTAAAAAAACGCTTCATTAATCGAATTGATACGTGGAGAATGGTCTCATACACCAGTTAAAAGCAAGTCTTATCCGTGTTATATGCAACCATCCGTAATCAAATATTTGATTCAAAAGAGAGAAGTAACTTACTTGGAATGCAAGCTATCAGCACACTTCCATCTTTCATTGAGCGAAGCATCATGATAAATCCTACACTGTTCCTTAGTCCTAAGACGAAACCTGCGTTCTTTCTTGCATTTATAGCACTTGATGAACTCGTCGCGATGAAAGACTCGTTTCATAAATCCACTTGCCCCATTAGCAATATGTTTGTAATATTTCAGCAATGGAGTTTTCCACAATGGCACCTTTTTATCTTTCATTACTACCCATATATGGCTTTTCCATCTGTTTCTCCCTCCCTTCCCTGTATGCTTCTCAAATTCATATGGTGTGAATCTCTTTCCTTCAGTTCAAAATGACACTTTTCTCATCCGTCACTCATAATTATTTACAACCAACATCAAGTCATTAATTAATATGTGTATGTCCATGCTTATATTAGAACTCAATGAAGTTAAATATGTCTGCCTGCCTGATAATGCAACTAAAAGACAGGCTAGGAATTTCAAATTCTGACAGAATTTTTAGTCTCCCTTTTGAAAATTTCTAATTCATAAAATAGACAAATTAACAGGAGAAACATCGATCATTCATGTTTATATTATAACTTAAAAGATATAAATATGCATTTGCTTAAAATTGCGAAAATTTCTGATTTTTTTTTAAAAAAAAAGAAGTCAAATAACATACTTCAATATTCATGCCTGGTGTTGGATAATATAATTTTTAAGCTACCAATAGCTGCTATATGTATGCACCATAATATGAAGTATATATTTTAAATAATGCATGATAAGGTAGACATCCAGTTCATCAAATTGGTGCAATATTTTGTGTTAGGGTTAATGCAAAAATTGAAACTATATATGCAACTTTTGTAATAATAACTAATTAATATCTATGAATGAGTTTGAACTTTGAACTAAGTGGTATTCAAATCAGAATCTAACTAACAAAAGGAAAATCTAAATTAAAAATAACAAGAAATTCAGAAGATATTCAAAATTATGGGCAAAAAAAAAAAAAAAAAAAAAAAAAGTGGTATTTCAAAATCATGGAACTGCTATACATTAACATAAAGGAAAGAGGATGCCTAAATTTAAAAATAACGACAAGAATAATTTCAGATAGCACTATTTCAAAATTAATGGGCCAAAAAAAAAAAATAAAACAAAGATAACAAGACACAAAAAAAAAAAAAAAAAAAAAAAGAAAAAGAAAATAAGAAAATAAGAAAAGGAAAAAGCAAGTAATGTATTAGTTACCCCTTTTGCAGACAGGAGAACAATCACAGGTTATCTGAAATTGGCCACTCGCAAAAACTCTGAGGAGTCCGATGGCATCACCATACTTCTTGCTTGTACATCCACATTTAACTTCAACATAATCATGTCCTCTCTTGAAACCATCAATGTCATTCAGTTCCTTCTCTCTAAATAAGGTTTCGCTTATCATAATTGGAACTTCCCTTTCCCCTGTCACTACAATATTATAATAATCAAGACATTATAATATATATGTATATTACATACAGCTGTAACAAAAATTGAAAAGAAAGATCTTTTAACAAGTACAATGAAGTTGGATAATCCTCAAACATTAGATATGGATGTCTCAAATAAATTAAAGCTTGAAGCTGAGTAAGGACAGTTGCAAAAAATCTGATTATATATATATATAATATATGATAAAGAAACTGAAACCCACTTTCTAGAGAAATGCTAAGAAGCACACGTAGAGAAATGCCAAAACATGGAAAATGAGGGAAATAGAGGTAGAATCCAAAGCTTGACAGACATTTGTCCAAAAGGGATTTTTGGCTTTGGTTGCATGTCAATAGGTTGTATACATGTCATGCTGCCAAGAACAGTTTGGTTCAACTTCATCAGTATATATATATATATATATATATATATTCTATGCAAGATCACTCTCAAGATTGAGAGTTATTATGAATTCTATTTACTCTTAAGTTTCCATATTAGTAGTTTATACTCATGTCTTATCGCTTTGTTCATAGAAATACTGCATTAAGAGACGGTCCAGATTTGTGCAGTATGCATGTGATGCGCTAAATATTTGGCAGATAAGAAAGTTCTTAAAGGAGAAGACTTGAAACTCTTGATCTCTTGCCCTGCTAAGTATAGAATTAGAGGGGGTTTATTGTTTAGTGTAAACCGCCAAACCAAATCAGAAACAAAACAGATTAGATAGTTTAATATTTTTTTATTTTGAGTAACTCAAATCAAACCATAAACTGTATAATATTAATATATAATATGGTCAGCAAACATTATATGAAATGTAATCTTTAAAACTATAAAATAGTTCTTTTCAGTCTTTAATGCATTGTGAAAGATAACTTAAGCTATAATTATCAATCACACGAAATGTTTTTTTGCCACTGAGCTACTCCATCGGTTTAACAATTTTAACAGAATTGATATGTTTTTTTTGTTTAGTTTTTAAATTAATATGTATTAATTTAGTGTTTAAATTCTGTTTTATTATTTCAACTTATATGTTATGTGGAAACCGTTTTAAAAACTAAAGTTGATATATATTATTTTATTATTTAATATTTTATTATATATTAGTTCAGTTCAATTTGTAATTCAATATACTGCGTATACATATACGACTTAGCAATGAATCTCGGTTGGAATCCCCTTCTCCCAATACTAAAAAACAAAAAAATTTCAATTTAAAAAATTTCGAAACTGTCATTATCAGTTTGATTTAAAAAAATTATTCAAACCGCTATAAACCATGTGCACCCTTATATACTACAAGTAATCATTCTACAATTATCAATAATAAATTTCCTGTAAATAGTTACTTCCAATATATATATATATGTATGTAAAATTCACTTTATATTTGTTTTATGGATTCTTTGCCTCTATTCAGTTAGAATTTCAATTGATCTCTAAATAATAGTATATCTTAATTAACATTTTCATTCCTGTAATTTAAAAAAATTATTATAACGTTTTTAATTTTTGCTGTCAATTTAATATCAAGTTCTTCCATCCAAAAAGTGAGCATATTCCGTTGAAAAAACGAGTGTGACTATTTTGATAAAAGGACCCGATATTTAATTTAAAACAAAAATTAGAGACGTCATAGTAATTTTTCAAAAATAAAGAAATAAAAGTGTTAATTAAAATATAATTTAGGGACCCAAATGTACTTTTCCCTATATATATATATATATTTATTTATATTTAACGCGTACTCCACCTAAAATGATTTTCTCATTAATTAAATTAATTAATTTTGAAACCTTATATGATTTTTTTTAAAAATATTTAATTATATATACACACGCACACATATCATTTATATGCACTTTTGTTTTTATTTACCTAAAGTATGACTTGTCGGGTGAATTTTGAATTTGGAAGTTGTGTTTTGCAGGCTAAAAAACAAATACAAATACAAGGAATCAATGAAATAGAAAAATAATTTTTTCGTTTGTCATTAAATTTTTAATTATATGGATTAAATATATCTAGGAAGAAAATTCTCCATCATATGCCTAATTAAATATGATGAATTTAAAAATCTAATAATGTAAAAGGGTTGGACTCAAATATCCCTAATACAGGAAATATACAATCTGATCTATCAAAACAATAAAACACATAATACACACAGAACATGCAAATAATTTTTTCAGAAAAAATAAAATCTTTAACAAAAGAAAATGAAAGGGGAAAATCTAGTTCTAGATATGCTTCAAATTTTGGTAAGCCATAAGTAGATGCACTCACTCCAAGATAAACACATTATTATCAATAGATCATTGATATATATTGAAAAAAGAATGAATATAAAAAGAAAATTGAAAGGAAATTTACCTTGAAGGGCCATTTCTTGAGCTTGCTTGGAGTAATTCAGCTTCTTGATGGGAACACTCTCTCAATTGTAGCCCTATTTCATGAGAGTGGAGAGAAGATTATACCAATGATCCTTTAAATAGAAGAAGAATTAAAGATTTTACAAAAGAAATTAACCAATTTAGGTCGAAACAATCTGTTCCGCATCTGTCATGATATATTTACATTTACTTGCCTTTCTAGCATGATTACAAATGTTCAAGAAAGCCGGTGGACCTAACCGTAGTTTTGTTTCGGTGTTTCGCAGCGATAATCTGCCTTCATATACCCTAATCACGTTCGCTAATCTTCTTTTATGTGCTCTAATCACATCCGCTTATCTTCTTAATTTCATGTGCCCTAATCGTATCCGTTCTTATGCACTTTTAAAAGGAATTAAATTAATTAAGAATTATAATCTTCCGTCCAGATATTTATTTATAATAGTTCCGATACGATCGAGTATCACGAATAATAACTCAGAATAAATTTTAGACGAAATTAAGCAAAATTAAGATTTCGCTCAAATTTATCTTTTTGTTAAAAATGGAAAAGAAATTGAATTGCAATTGTGTGCTTATCCTCTCCACTCCAAAGTTGGCCTAGAATAATCATATGTTATTAATATTCATATCTATGGTTTAGATATGTTGGCTTAAACAAAGTTTTCAATACTAGATTTTTTTTTTTTTTGAATTCTATGATTTAATTTTGTTAGAACAAGCACATTGATAATGAATAATTATTATATTAATAGTCTATATGTAAGGTTGAGTTATATCAATTTTGATACCTAAATTATTTTACTTCTCTAGATATTCATTTAAAGAGTAAAATTCTTTAATTAGGTTTACCTACATATATTTTTATGTATTTTTCCCAAGCCATTGAAGTTTTATGTAGAAGAGATAAAATTAACCTATTAACATAAGGTTTTGGGTACTCATGAATGTGTTTCCTCACGAACCATAAAATTGATTAGCAGAACTGTAAATAGTTTGTCGGGATATTAGCAATGTAAACACAATTTTTGTAATTGTAGATCAAAGGCTGGTGTTTCAAGTAAAATTCTTTCAACGGTGACGATTTTAAGTTTAAATTGATGATTTTACAAGTAAAATTTGCTTGGGATGATTTAACCACTTATTGTATATTTTAATTATAAATATACTTCTAAACTCTTATTTGAAACAAATGAATTTTGTGGAATTCATTTAGAAATCCATATTTTTAAGTTTTGAATGAAACAAAGTGTAAATTTCAATTCTACGAATTCAATTCCATGAAATTGAACATAACTACACCAAATCCCACAAAAAATAGGTGAAATTTTCAAATGAATTTCACAAAACTAAGCAATCTTACTTTTTATGACAAAACTTACCTTCTCATTCTAAAAAGTGAAATTTTCAATTATTTTACTTATTTAACTTATTTATTTTATCAAATTTGACCAAAATGGTTTAAAAATTTTAATTTTTTTAGAAAAATATTTTCTTATTATTTTTTATTTAATATCTTTCATCTTTTGTTTTAATATTTTTTAGCATGTTTTTCACTATTAAGGAGACATAAATATTCAAGTTAAATATATATATTTATCACCCAATTAAATGTAATAATTTTATTAATATTATTTTTATTTTATATGTTTATTTTAATAAAAATATAAAAATCCGAGTACGACAGAGAGAATATATTTGTATGCTAAATATTATAGAAGATAGAGTTTAGAAATGAATCTCGAAACCTAATACGTATTCGAAATAATTGCCTCTTCGCTTCTGAATAATGTTGATAATAGACACGTAAAGGTGAGAATTATAAAGAGCTATAAATCTCTCTCAAGGAATATATAACTTCTTTAGACCACGAAAATTATAAGTTGTTCTCTATAAGAGTTAAGCAGCATGAAAATCTCGCATGCATAAGATTACGATGTACAAATTCTATCCTCTTCTTTGTCTCCTAATGTGTGGTTCACAGAAACTAGTATAATAGCGTACAATTTGAATTGCAATTGGTGTGTCGTTTATTCCTCCTTCCTAGCGAAAAGATGCCAAAGAGTTTTGGTCGCTTATGAATTAAATCATAACGTTATTAATTATTCATATCTATGGTTTAGATACTGTTGTTGTGGTGCTTATAACACACAAGTCTTTCAATACTAGATTTTTTTTTTTTTCTTCTTAGGTATTGAAATTCCTCTCCAAGAATGACTATGCTAGAATTCATGAAGGTGTATAGAACAAGTCGACACCTTGATAATGAGTAATTATTATCTATCTAAAGGTATTTAAATAGTTCTATTATTCGTCAAAGTTGGGATATATGGATGCAAATTAAAATAACCAATTCAATGTGATATAGGAATACCACCTTATGTAAAATATTCCACCAATTTGTAATCGGTTTTCTATGGATCTCTCAATACCAATATAAAGAAGTTAAATGAGTAACAAATTCATTTATGTATTTGTTAGGTTTTTTACTGTCACATATTTGATCATGTTTGTCATGGTAAATTTAATATTCACAATCAGCTCATACTTGAATGTTTTCATGTTAAGATAGTAGCCAATAAAATTAACCCTTCTAAAACGACGTAAGATGTGCTTGTTGAGTGTAACTATATTCATTCAAATAGAATTGGTGTTTCTCCTCTATTCACTGATATTCCATAAAAGATGTGCATATTAAGTCATGCTATATCTATTTGAATAACATAGTCATTGGTCGGGATAATTGGGAGAGCAGAAGTAAGGCCGTACAAACAAACAAATTATTTGTATATGAGTTTAAAGACTATCAAACACACGGACATGCGTGTTAATTCAAAGTTAATTCAGAAAATATTGACTTAAATCAATCGGTTTTGTACGTCTGGTGGAGTTTTATGAGTCTTTACAATATTGATGGATGTTTGCTTACGAGAAAGTTAATTTAAAAAAAGTGGCCTATTGGAGAATGCATTGTATAAAACAACTTCACACTTTATTGATATATTTAGAGATTTACTAAAATAATTAACAATGCACTAAAACTCATATATTTGAAACAATTATTATGAATAAAGTTTTGTAAGTCGCAAATATCATTCGATAGACACTAAATATGAAACGCAATTAGAATGTAATTATAAACGAATATATACAATTTTGTAAAATGAAATAAGAGGTTGAGTAAGGAGAATCTCTTACCATAATCTCTCTTAACAAACCGAGATCCTTTCGAGAGCAGAATTCTAATTATTCACATGTACAATCTTGAGTAGAGGAGGAGCATTAACTAAAAAAACCAATTCACATACTCCCGGAAAATCGCCTGTACACCAATAAAAATGTAGGTGAGCAATCCTTGTCATTCAAACATTGACCATTTCAATCCACCAAAACCAGGTATATGCTGTTAAATCGTGTCTTAACTTCTGTCCAATGACAAAGACTTTAGGCGCTTTAGCTCTCAATTAATTGATATTAACAGAGTGGACCAAGTATGTCATTTCAATTATTTGTGTTAATCATAACCATCTCAAACAAGTTTATATTTGTGAATTTTTTCTAATTGGGCGACCAAATTCGTCGCACTCTAAGAAATAGGTTTTAAAAATTTTAATTTTCTATTTTCAGAGAAATAAATATTTCGGGTTCTTATATTATTTTTTATTTAATATCTTTCATCTCTTTTTGTTTAGAGAATGATTTCTTTTATGGCGAATTGCTTTTCACTACCTTTAAGCGAGACCACTCACAATATTCACAGCTTAAATCTATTATTAGTAGTCTTCATCACCCAATTAATGGTAATAATTTTATTAGATATTAATAAATTTATTTTTATATGTATTATTTTAATAAAAATATAAAAAAAATCATTGAGTAGGATAACATAAATATAAATTCCATGGTATTTATTATTTATTTTTATAAAATTACTATTTCAAGGATATTTTAGGAAACAGAAAATAAAATGAATTTTCAATTTGAATTTATTTCCTATACATTTTGATTACATGGAATTAGCATAACATAAATATAATTGGTATTTATTATTTATTTTTATAAAATTACTATTTCAAGGATATTTTAGGAAACAAAAATAAATGAATTTTCAATTATGAATTTATTCCATACATGATTACATGGAATTCAATTGAATTACATGTTTTAAATTAACCGTACCAAAAATTGAATTCCATGTTTTAAATTAACCGTACCAAACATGAATAATTTCATTTATAAAATTCTACTAGAATTCATTCACAAATGAATTCCATATTTTAAATTCATTTATACCAAATAGAGTGTAAATGTTCTACATTTATCCTTGTTTGGAACAAATGAATTTCATAAAATTTTGTGAAATTCATTTAAAAATTTTTGTGTTTGGAATGAAAAAAAATACATATAGATTGCAATCTAGAAATTCAATTCTATGGAATTGAACATAACTTCACAAAATTCCACAAAAATATGTGAAATTTCCAAATGAATTTCATAAAATTAAGTGATAGTCTCAGAATTATGAGGATCTCTTAAAGATGAACGATACTGGATTGTATTAGGTAAAATGAATTGGCATAAACCTTTTTCCGGAGGAAGGTTCTCCCTTATATACCTGATGTGAAATGCTAGGTAGGTTGTGCGAATAATAGGGGAGAGATCTTTAGGCATTATCTCCTGATATCACGCCCATATCATCTTTCTATTATTTTGTTCGGTTACGCGGTCCTCAAATCTTGTTAAGATTGGTGTTTATCACTAAGCAATCCAACTTTTTATAGCAAAATTATATTTCTCCTTTTACAAAGTCAATTTTTCAATTTTTACTTATTAACTTATTTATTTTATCAAACTTGACTAAAATCATTTAAAAATTTTATTTTTTTAGACAATATTTTCTTATTATTGTATTTTTTATTTTAATATTTTTCATCTTTTATTTTAATATTTTTTCACTATTTTTTACTATTGAGGAGAAATTAAATATACATTTATCACTAAATTAAATGCAATAATTTTATTAATATTTTTTTATTTTATAAAAATATATAACATAACATAAAAAATTTATTCCATACATAGAATTGAAACATGTCACAAGAATTCACTTACCAGCGAAAACTCTTGTGATCGAAAAGATTCGCTTAAAATTTATTCTATCTGGTTGGCCTATATTTAAAACTTGAGAAAAAAAAAAATACCTCCCTAAATTATAGTAAAAATTTACATGTACTTCCTTCTATGTTTTAAGACTAACACGTGTCTCCCTAAATTAATAGTTCGATACACAGCTACCTTCTTTCGTCCAAGTCAATCTAATTTTCTATTTATCTACCTCATAAATTAAGGTTAAAAGAAAGAGAAAAAAATATAAGACAATTTTGCTCTTATAGAATTAGCTGATTGAACCGATTCAAATTAAAACCAAAAAAAATTACCAAACCGAACCAAAACCCTTCCAGAATTAGCTAATTGAACCAAAACCACGAAAAAAACTTTCCTTCTCTCCTCGATAACGCGATCTGATATCGAGAGCTTTGGTCCAACGTCTCCTCTGCCGCCCTCTCAGTTTCTCGCGAGCAACCAATAAAGCTTGGCCGAGGAGGGAGAGAGACGTCAGTCAGATGCTATTCTGGTCACCTTCTACCATCGTTGGTGACGTCCTCCTTCTAGATAGGTACAAATTGATACCTTGTCACCTTTGCATAGGATTTCTTTGGATAATTTGTGAATGATTGTGGATTTCTTAATTATTGTTAAGTTAGATTTGAAATGGAATTTTTTTTTTTTTTTTTTTATCTTGGATTAGAAATAGTTATTGTTTGATTAAATTGATAACATAGTTGAACTCCACTCTGAATTTGGATCACTTTGACTATAATGTTTCATTGTTTATAGAGTAGCAACAATTTCAGGCACTGCAGACGGTGGCTTTGCCACCTGTCGGTGGTGGCTCTGGTGACTAGAAAAATATCCCAAAAGAGCCAGAATCTTGTACTCAATTTGTGAGATATGAATATGCAATTATTTTTGTAATTGGATACCATTTGATGATCAAAATAATAATCGTCGCAAATTGGTAAATAGTTTCAGGCAACACTATAGAGTGGTGACCTCTCTTTGCCGGCAGTGGACTCTCTGCCACGAAAAAGAGAAAGCAAGAAATAGGATTTCATTCTAGAAGGAGAGATGAAGGAGTAGAAGTAATTAATATATCAAGGGTTAAAAAGGTCATTTCATTTGTCATTTAAACGGAAATTAGGCTGATTTTAGATGAAGGGAGGTAGTTGTGTAAAGGACTGTTAATTTAAGAAATAGGACTTCATTCTAGAAGGAGAGATGAAGGAGTAGAAGTAATTAATATATCAAGGGTTAAAAAGGTCATTTCATTTGTCATTTAAACGGAAATTAGGCTGATTTTAGATGAAGGGAGGTAGTTGTGTAAAGGACTGTTAATTTAAGAAATAGGACTTCATTCTAGAAGGAGAGATGAAGGAGTAGAATAGGACTTCATTCTAGAAGGAGAGATGAAGGAGTAGAAGTAATTAATATATGAAGGGTTAAAAATGGTCATTTCATTTGTCATTTAAACGAAAATAAGGTTGATTTTAGATGAAGGGAAGTAGTTGTGCAATGGACAGTTAATTTAGGAAGGCATGTGTTAGTCTTAAAATATAAAAGGAGATATATGTAAATTTTACCATAATTCAGGGAAGTGTTTTTTTTTTTTTTGTTTCCTTAAAATTTTTTAAAACAATTTTAACATCAGAAAACACGGATTCACTTTTTATATTTGTATTTTGAATTTAAAGAGGTTCATAAACTGAACCAATGTCCAAATCGCTCGAACCAAATTAAACCCCTACGACTGAAACTAACGAAGATGTCGGTCTTATCCTGCGGCTCTCCTGCTTTTCGGGCGCACCCGGCGAAAGCTTCTATGCCTACTGTTAAAGTTCGTTCAAGCTCTCAACTTTCTTTCGACCACAATGACAACCCATTTGTTCCAGAGGTATATAAACTAAAAAACTCACTTTTATTATGCTGTTGATGGCTTAAGAGAAACTGCATAAAACTGGAAAAAGTAATGATTTGAATTTTGTTTTATTGATAAGAATCGAGACCTATCACATTTCTTGAGGAGAAAAATGTTAGTTTCCAAAAATCCGGTAGCTTTACCTGGCTATTTCTTTGCTTGGTTGCTGACGAATGCTGTGACCATTGAGAGTAATTTCAATTTGAATGCATTTTCAATAGCTATAGCCTATATTACTTTACCGTGGTAATCTTTGAAATGCAATGTTAACATTTTTATCTGGTTAATTGTTGAGAAAATGGTGGAATTTAAGAGATCATTTGATATGATATGTTTATTTTTCAGTTGTAGACAATAATTTTTGGCAAACTTTCTTCTGAGAAGAAAAATGAAGTGTGCAGTTCATGCTAATGCTAATAGTTGTGACAAATTCATTGTTGTTTACTACCATTTGTGATTGCGGAGAACATGCTTGAAACAGGAAGTAAATGTAGAATTTTTGCTTATGGTATGGTTATGCGACCCTATTTTAATTTCCTAATTTTAAGCGGCACTGTATATGCTTTCACTCCCTTAAATGCTTGAAGTCTAATGATTAGATTCACTGCTTAGAATGTTAAAAATTGTGCAAAATCGATAATCAGATTTGGACATGTCAGAGTGGGGTGAAAAATTTCTACGCCAGTGATGATGCATGATTGATATTGGTCTTAGTTGGACATATAAGGATGAGGAGAAGGACAGAGTTTATATTGAATGAAGTATGGTATAGTAAAGTAGCTTAGTTGAGACTAGAAAAGCTTAACATTCTGATCTGCTTTCCTCAGTTTTATGAGAAGTCAAGAATTCTGGACTGTTTTTAAACATATCTACTATCTATTTCTTTGCCACTCAATCAAAATTCTAGTTGTGGACCTTCTTTTCTACTTCAGTGTTTGTGCTTATTGCATGTGTTAGTACCGAGTCTTTATGTGTTTGGCTAATATACAGAGTTAGTGTTTTGGGGGTTGTTAGAACAGGTTGCAAAAGCCCTAGATTCCTTGTATTCAGAATTCAGATCTGTGGATTATTTGGTGGCATGCAATACCTCCCGTGTTATTAAAGCTTTCCAGAATGTTCGAGTTGGATCTCATGTAAGTAACTATCCTATTTGGTTCCGACTTGCAATTTGAAGTTTAATAAATGTGATTGGATGTCAACAAAGGGACAAGTAGCCATTAGAGGTTGTGAAAAGTCCTTCCCCCCCCCCAAAAAAAAAAAAAAAAAAAAAAAAAAAAAGACAAAAAAAAAAAAAAAAAAAAAAAAAAAAAAAAAAAAAAAAAAAAAAAAAAAAAAAAAAAAAAAAAAAAAAAAAAAAAAGCGCTTCATGGGCACATTGTTAAATTTGAGTCATAGACTTCCATTCTGTAAGTAATTTTACAGGCAGGTGATATGAAGGTATTGTCCATTGTATAAATCCATTCCGATGCGCATGCAATATGTGTATCTGCTCATGTTCAACCAGCTGGTACAGAATGTTATCTTATTATAAATTCTTCAACTGTGGTGTTCATTGTTATTTTTATTATTATGCTTATAAATAGCACTTTAGTGGATCTACTGGCTATGGCCATGATGAAGCTGGGGGACGTGAAGCACTTGACCAGGCTTTTGCAGAAATTGTTGGAGCCGAAGCTGCAATAGTTCGCTCACAGGTCTTGCAACACAGTTATCATTTGTGCTTCTCAATCTTTTTTTTTTTTTTTTTAAACATTGTTAACTCTGCATTCTTTCTTTTCTTTTAGTTTTTTCTCAGGGAACCATGCTATCACTTGTCTTTTGTTTGCTTTCTGAGGGCCAGGGGAGTGAGGTTAGCCTTATCTTTCATGTCTGCCTCCTCTTCTATTTCTGTTAAAGTCTCATACTGGCGTACTTTCATCATATTTCTTGCCTGCTTTCGCTTTCCTTCAATACTGCGTTTTAGATTAATGCGATTCTCAGCTTCCTTGGCAGTTGCTCGGTGCTTCCTATGACACCTTAGAGGAAAAGTTATGGAAAAGAGGACTGTCATGCGGACTAGGTTCCCTGCAAAGATTTTGAGTGGCAGGTACGAGAAGTTCCAGTTATGTTGGCGGTATAACAGCAGAAACCCAATATTTTTACTTCTGAATCGGACATTTACTCACATAATGCACTTTCAGCTTACTGCCCAGATGAGTGGGACTTGTATCGGGATGTCTTAAAGAGTGCTTTGAAACCTCATACCAAACACATGCCTGCACTCATGTACAGAGGTCATTGTGGTTATTCTTTGCGCGTCGGAAGTTTTTTTTTTTTTTTTTTTTTAATACATTGTTAACTCTGCATCTTTTCTTTTCTTTTAGTTTTTCTCAGGAACCCATGCTATCACTTGTGCTTTGTTTGCTTTCTTGAGGCCAGGGGATGAGGTTAGCTTATTTTCATGTTGCCTCCTCTTCTATTTCTGTTGAAAGTTCATACTGGTACTTTTATCATATTTTCTGCCTGCTTCGTTTCTCAATATGGTTTTAGATTAATTGGATTTCAGCTCTTGGCAGTTGCTGGTGCTCCTTATGACACCTTAGAGGAAGTTATTGGAAAGAGGGACTGTCATGGACTAGGTTCCCTGAAAGATTTTGGAGTGGAGTACCGAGAAGTTCCAGTATGTTGCTTATAACAGCAGAAACAATATTTTTACTTCTGATGCGGAACATTTTACTCACATAATGCACTTTCAGCTTACTGCAGATGGTGGACTTGACTGGGATGCTCTTAAGAGTGCTTTGAAACCTCATACAAAATGTGCACTCATACAGAGGTCATGTGGTTATTCTTGGCGTCGAAGTTTAAGTGTGAATGAGATAGGGAAGGCTATAAAGATGATCAAGGTAAGTCCTTGGAAATTTATTGTGATTTTTCCGAATGTGTCATCTAAATTGTCACCGTGTAGGTTCATTCCAACGATATATCTAATTGGGGTTTGAGTTCAGTGAGCATATCATCATGACCGTCACATGGTTTTCCCCTAGGGTTGAGTGGTAGAGATCTTACAAACTTTGTTAGCTGGAACCAAGATTTTGTTAATTTAATTCAAATAATGGTTTACAACCTCCTCCTGCATTGGTGGCTGGGTGGTTTGTGCTGTTCAATTTTCTATTTCATTAGATTTGATCAAATGAAACATTAAGTTAGGTCCTCTTTTTCTTCTCTAATATTTGGTCATATGAGGGTGGGCCTTAATGCAACAAATAAGGGTGCTGCTTTATGGCCCAAAACCACATGTTCAGTTTATGGAAAATTTCCTTTCTGAGAAAAAAAAAAGGGTAGGGAACTGCATACAAATGGACATTTCTCTGTTGGGAATTCTGAGACACTAGGAATTCCCTTACTGATTTCTTTAATTTGTGTATAATAATTAGTTAATCAATGAGAACATGTCGCGTTACTTCATTCCATTGCATCTTGTACTCTTGAAAGTTCCATCCTATTATGTCCTTTCACACATATACTTGCAGATGCAGAATCCTGACTGCTTTGTCATGGTGGATAATTGCTATGGTGAATTTGTTGAAAAAATTGAACCTCTGATGGTGGTATGTCACATCTAATTCCTTCTCCTCAAGTAGGGTTGCTTCTAATTTGGTTAATGATGGAGCAGGGTGCAGATCTGATTGCAGGAAGTTTGATTAAAAATCCTGGTGGAACCATTGCACCATGTGGGGGATATGTTGCTGGGAGGAAAAAATGGGTGGAAGCAGCAGCAGCTCGTCTCTCTGCACCAGGGCTTGGGATAGATTGTGGGTCAACTCCTGGTGATATTATGCGAACTTATTTCCAAGGGCTGTTCCTCGCACCTCAAATGGTTGGTGAGGCAATCAAGGTATTAGATTCTGCAAATTATTTTTCCCTTTCACGGATCTTTCTTATTTCTTATTGATAGTGTTGCTATTTAAGGGAACATTTCTGATAGCTGAAGTCATGGCCTCTAAAGGTTATAAGGTACAGCCGCTACCTCGTGTAACCCGTCATGATGTTGTACAGGTTTGTCTTGTTTATCTTATATCATTCTCCCGTAAAACTTGTTAAATATTTTGGCAACCAGGGGTGTTTTTCAGATGGAATGAGTTATTTAAACAATGTTCTTTGCATGTGTCCATTATCCAGTTCCGTTCATTGTTTTCTTTTTAGTTTTATATGTTGATGGGATGCCTTAAGGGCAAAAGGTGCCTGTTTCTGCAAGCAAATAAGAGGTTTTTGATAAATGCAAAGCAATAATGTTGTTGGCTATGCATTTCTGATTATCTTGTAAATGATTTAGAAGATCATACACAGGGAAGATCTAACCTGCTTTTGCAATACTTTTCAGGCAGTACAGCTTGGAAGCCGTGAACGTCTAATTGCTTTCTGTGAGGCCGTGCAGAGAAGCTCACCAGTAGGCTCATTCACTAAACCAGTTGCTGGTTCAACTCCTGGATATGCCTCAGAGGTCTGCCATATTATATTTGAAGTGACATGACATATCGGAGGCCTTTTTTATAAAGAAAATGCTTATCCAGAAAGTATCTGCAATTGTTTCCATTAGTTCTGCTACTTCATATCATGGCACTGTTCTAATCTCCTTCATGAACTCATTGATGTTTGCCTTTTTGCTATTGTGGTCGATTCATTTTTAGTGGGATGCATGTCTTGTTTGTACTATACTGAACGAAATACCTTCGTTAGTGTTACCTATATGTTACTAAGGGAGCTTTACATAAATTACCGGCTATCACAAGGAGCTTTGTGTTTTAATATGATTAAAGATTGTGGCCACCATTCAACTTATTGTTCCCATGTGGTGCAAGCTCTCACCTAAACAAGTTTAATTAAGAAATTTCCTTAGAAACTGTGTTTGTGCCATGTCCTCTGAATCATGTTTTAGTATCCAACATAAGTATCTTACATCTTACTTTATCAGGTAATCTTTGCTGATGGAACTTTCATTGATGGAAGTACAAGTGAATTGTCATGTGATGGGCCGCTAAGGGAGCCATTTGCCGTGTTCTGCCAGGTACATGCTTCGTCTTTATCATTTCATCTCTAGCAGTGTTGAATTATCAAAAATAGAGATGTAATTTTAAGTAAATTAATATAGTTCAGTAGATGGAATCCTGAATTTCGCTTCTATTTCAATCATTTGATGCAGGGTGGCACTCATTGGACTCAGTGGGGCCTAGTTCTAGGAGAGGTTTTGAAATGCATTTGAACAAGTGATCAAATTCTACAGATATCTTTGTTTGGGTTTCTTAATCGCTACATAGTGGTGGCAGGAAATGATGAGTTCTGGGTCCTCCATAGAAAGGCATATGCCAACATTTTTCATTGAGAAAGTCTTACAGAAGTAAACAAATACTGTGACATGGATTCAAATGACAAACTTCAGAGTAGACTTGTCCCATCGAATTTTGACCTTTTGATGAAAATCCAGAAGTTGCAGTCGACCAACTTGTAAATTAGTCCTGATTTTGTCCAATTTGATAATTCACCATTAATTTCTTTTATTTAATGTAGGTTTTGTTTATGAATTATGATGATTACAAGGTGAGATCATTCATTTTAAAGTATAGTTTTAAAAATTATTTTTCATTACAAAATATCATCTAATTTCACAGATTTTGTCTTCGTAAAATGCAAGTGCAATTGTACAAATCCATGAATAATAGATTGAACTTTTTTTTTTTTATGATTTTTAGTTCTGCGATATTTTAATGATTTTTAGTTCTAACGACTGGGACCCACTGGATAATAATTAATAAAAGACAAAATGGTCCAATTTTGTAATTTAAATACACGTGGCAATCTTTCACAGGCTACCCTTAAGGAGTCTAGTGTCCGGAACTTATATTATACATGAATATAGATACTTATACAAAGTACAAGCCATCACTGCGAAATTATGCGTTGGTTCTATTAAACTATGAGCTCAACGATACATTATCCGAAATCGGTGTTATAGATTCGACTAAAAGTCTATAACTTGGCATATTTGCCATGACTACTGCTCTGTTACATATCTCCATCTTTTTCTCTCCTTTAAACGCTTCGCCAGATAATATATACAAGAAAACCATTAATATCCAGTCTCTGTCGAGTCCTAGGATTGCTTCTTTCAATCAAAACAGATTCAAATTAAGGGCTAGTAGGGAGAAATGGAGCCTCTTCGAAGTGGGGAAGGAGCAAGATGGGATCTTGATGAAAGATAAGGGGTGGGAGAAGAAGAGGAGAGTGGTTTTGGTGAGGTTTAATCAAGGATTTGGTTTTAATGGTGGCGGTGGTGGAGGTGAAGGTGGGAGAGATGATAGTAGTACTGTTAGGCTTCTTGGAAACGTTGCTTTGGCTATTGGGTTAACTTATCTTTCAATGACCGGACAGATTGGCTGGGTTTTTGATGCTATTGGCTGGGTTTTGGATGCTCTTATTTCTCTCTGGGTATGGCGGTCTTGCTTTATTTTTCTTATTTCTTGTTTTAGAAATTATTTTGAGTTATTATTTGTTTGATTATTGCCTCTGTTAATATATATGATCATAACCAGGTTGTTCCTATTATTAGTCGATCATAAATTGAACTGCAATTTGGGAATGAAGCATTAGTTCACTAAATTGTTATATTACTAAATTCTGTTCGGTTGATAACTATTGAAACTCTAACTTCTTTCTTATTCATTTGAGGGTTTTTTATGATAACTTCATAGTTGCATGAGCTGATGAACCAAGTCCATTGAATTGTGTAGATGATGCAGAAGTTGCCCTCTTACTATCTGTGCTTGTCTCACTATATATATTCTCAGGTTCACGTGCTAATGTTTGTCTTCTTGTATGTTTTCTATTTGTAACAACTATTTCTGTGCCTTGAATTGTTGTACACGATCGCGAATGTATATTGAGTTGTTTTTTAATGCCAATATTTTGTTATAGCAAGAAGTAGCTGTCTGCTGGTGGACAGCATTTGAATCACTTGCTTTCTGTGGCTTTCTCCAATTGTTTTTTAAAATTCTTTTGTTGCAATATGTTCAATATGTTTAGCAAGATCTCATATTTTGATGCTTTCTTTCAGCTCCTGGCAGTACTAGTACCCATTGTTGGTTTGGGAGCTTTCCTCTGGTGGGCAGGTCGGGATATACTTCAAGGAACTGTGAGGATTATTTAACCTTCTTTATGCACATGTATTTCGTTCTTCTTCAATATTGCTGTGTTGTAGAACCCCTGAATTTTTTGTGGGAGCGCGTGATGTCCTTAAAAAATGTAGAGCTTTCTCTAATATTGATTTTGACTTGTACTTTCTGGTGTGTATGCAGTGCCCAAATTGTGGAAATGATTTTCAGATTTTCAAGTAAGAGCTGAACTAATTCTAATTGAACTTATAGAAACCTCTATGAGATGGTGTTGGGTTGTAAGTTGTTCAAAATTTGATCATACCGTTAACTTTTGCAGATCAACTCTAAATGACGAATTGCAGCTGTGCCCCTTTTGCAGTCAACCATTCTCAGGTAAAAGACAAATGTTGCCTTTATGTGATCAGTGGGATAATTACTTGCCACTTAGTGCAGAAGACTGTTAGCACTGAGTTCTGTGCATTAAAGAATGAGATTTTAGTATAAACCATAGGGATTTTATTGCTTTTAGAACATGCTTGAAGCCATTGTTTGTATACATCCAGTTGCCTTTGCAGGCATACATAGACACAACTCATGATTCCATTTCTTCAATTTCATGGAGTTTTGACACTTCTTCTTGATAACTGAACTTTAATTTAACACCATGAATTCTTGATAACTGAACTACAATTTGATAATTGAGATGGAGACTAACTATATTTCAAAACCTCATTTTAGAACTCTTGCTGGACTTCATAATCAACTGAAAACTGCAATTAACATCTGGCTTTCTTGGTGCGGCACATCATGTGACTTCTTACACAATATATGGTGTGCCTCTTGAACTTGGGCACTTCAATTCAACTGCACCCTATAGCATTCCAGTGTTCTGCTATTACATACTGGATAACAGTTGAAATGCACATATTGGCATATTGCCCAATAGACTGACTGAACGGTTCTTTTTCTTACCTTCTTCCTCTATTGATGGGAAATGTTTCTTGTTACTATCTTGAGTTGTGTTGAATTTCCATTGGCTCATACAAAATGGTGAAATTTTAAAGTTTTAAAGAACATGATCTCTTCTTATTGGTGCAGTTTGAAGCAATCTGTTTGACCATCAAGTCTTTTCCTGCTTGTTATATTTATGTATTCATTCAAAGTTGTCTATTGATCTATTGATACAATCATTTTAATGGTGGTAAAGTAAATCTTCTTTGTTGATTAACTAGTAAAATAAGACTTGTGTTCTTGATATCTTTGTTATCCTCTGTGTTTTATGATATTTTCCTTGGAATTCAGTGGTAGGAGATGAGTTTGTGAGTGATTCTGTGAAGTTCTCCAACAGTTCTACAATGTTTGGACAAGCATTCAATGAGTTCTCTGCTGGTTTCAAGAAAGGTTTACCTTGGAATATCTGTTGCTTTTCCTTTGTTTATGATATGTGATTTGAATTTAACTAATCTCCCTTTTTTGTTTTTTGAAAGTAATTGAATTAATATCTTATTAGTTTGCATTTGATGGTTACAAAATACTAAATTGGGTTTACTTAGTAAGAGTCTTAAGTGTTTACTGGCTTTTTGTTATCTTCTTGTTGAAATTCTTATCATGGCAGGATTAATCTTCTTTTTTAATCAGGTGGAGATTCAAATCCACTGTACATAAACACATTGCTGCAAAAGACGTCTAATCTTCCTATTCTCTATTATCATCAGCATTGAATGATTCGTGAATTTTTGAAACATGACAATTTATTTTGCAGGAAAAGACTCTTCTTCAGCAGTTGTAGACATTGAAGCTGAAATAAAAGATGCAGAATGAGACCCCATAAACATATACCCTGGTTTGCACTCAGACTCTTCAACTGCAGTTATAGGTCATATTTGAGTTCTAACAGTTTCGTTTCTAGAGTTGTTTACTTTAACTCCTGAAACTAAAGAACGTAGTTAATTTCAAACTTTATGTTATTGCATACTTTTCTATAGCAATTGGAGGTCCATTGTGAGACTCCAAATATTCAGTACATAACATAGCGGTCTTGTTGATGATTTCATATCACTTGAAGTAACAAAATAGTGAATAAATTATTTCATTGGAATGGATATTGTTGGCATTTGATCCTTTTCTTTTCTTTGTTGTTTTTTCTTTTAACCCCTAGCTTTTGCCCAGCTGATGACATTTACAATTTCTCTTTTCAGAACAATATTATCCGAGTTAAATGGCAGGTGATGCTGCTGAATGTTGCCATAATCAATTGAAACTACCCTAAGCACACAGTTTATCATCAAGCTGTAGAGTACTAGCAAGACTAGTTGAATAGAAGTTGCTAATTCTATTCTGAGTTTTGGCTATGTTGTGTTTTCCGTGATAGATATGTAGCCTGTATATCATGCGAAGTATCATTTTCTTGCCCCTGTGAGATTGTGTTCACTTCCAGAGCTCTTACGATGGAAATTGTAGAAATTGTTTTGATTTGTATAGAATAAATAGTCATAAAACAACCGTTTAGATAAATTCTCGGTTGATTTGTGGGGCTACCTATCTGATGTTGCATCGGGACTGTTTAACGTACGTTATCTTATCAGTATGCCCACAGCTTCAGAATCATCGAATTCCTTTCCTGTTTACTCGACCGTCAGATGAAAGCATTCAGGAGGAACTAACCAGAAAGCAGATGGGATATAGAGAAAATGAGTCTTATCTATACCAAACATGACCTATTTAATAGATTTTGATACTTAAAAGATTCTTGCTCTACAGTAGCAAGGAAGCAATAGAAAGTCTCCACTTCTCATTCATTCTAGACCTTGAGACACACAGGAAAGGCTGAAAAAGAGGAGATAACTGATCTCATTAGCTTAATGAATACATAACCATGAATGACTAGATAGAGTAAACTGATGCTTGAATAATAACATCCATCGACTCATTTGAGCTTTGAATAGCTTTTTTCATCTAGTAGGAGTGAATCTTGAGAAATGATTTTCATATTTGCCATCGGTCATTATGCCTGTCTAAATTCTTAGGAGAAAAGGTCAATTTAAATGTAGAAAGAAAAGATCAAGATGAATAGAAAAATGACATTTCGTCAAACTTAAAAGCAATACGCATTGAGCAAACAGTAGTCTTGGTATCCGTATATCATGAAAAAATCTTAAGAAATCCTAGTAAGGAAAAGTTCACAGAGATTCCAATTTGATCAAGGACAAGACCGCTAGCAAATTTACCAAAACATCAAGGTGAGCTTCCATGGCAAATGGGGAAACACAAGAACAAAATTACTGGCTAGAAAAACATTATACAATAATGAGTGAATGTTTAACATTTAACAAGTTGTCTACCAGAAAATCCCATGCTTATTATTTAAAATATTGGAAAACGTTGATGGATACATCAATTATCAGCACAGCAACAAAAAAGCCAATAGTCATCATCCACTTAGGAGTGATATACAACTAAACTGTTCAAAACTGGAGGTCTAACCACATACGAACAATATCATCTTCTTGGAGACTGCACCTAGTGCGCTCCTTCCCCAACCTTCTGCAAAAGAATACAAGGATTACAGTAGTTAGTCCCATCTGTGAAAGAGCAATAGACAATTCATTAAGCTAATAACAATTCATTGGTTGAAGCTTTTGAGGTGAATATTAAAGCCATGTTGCTAAAGAAACTATGGCAGATATGTCAAATGGTGATTGAAAGTTAACTAGCAGGTATTAAAGCCCATAAAGTCCTGACAACATACCTCTTCCTTCTTTTCTTTCTTTCCTCTAGTAAAAAGCTTGTAACCTCCATAGAAGAGGGTTCCCCATCCAGCCAAAGAGATGATCACAAACTGCAGATAAAAATAAAATGACAATGAAGAAGCAATGGTTGAATTGAATAAATGTACTCATACATACAAATAAGACAAAAAAAAATAAAAAAAAGCCAATAGTAAGAACTACTGAATCTAAAAGATCATGCATTCAACATCAGAGCCTGGTGTTGTAACTATTTTTAGCAAGATGGTCAATAGTTCTATCCGTCTTATGCTGCTTAATGTAGATAGAAACCTTGATTCATCTCTAAGGCCAAAAAAAAGAAAATTCCTTGGAGACTTTCTGATAGGGCCATACTCTCAACACTTATGCCAACTTGAATGACAGATGGAAGACAGCCACTCTTTGCTCTCTCAATTTTCTCTCTCTTACACACTAAAGGAGAAAATTCTGCAAACATTTTCTCATTTACGATGAAAAGAATTACAAACTAATCCAAGCCTACTCACTTTAAAGCCAATTTTCATTTCTAAGAATTATACATATCTTATTTCATTAGGTTCTTACCAGTATTAGAAGTTCATGCCTTCATGAACAACGAAAATGTAGGCATTATATGGTTTAATTAAATTAGCATCCATGTTCAATACGCACTATTATTCAACTTATAGATTACAAATCAAACTCCAAAAAACTTGGAAATTAGCACTTTCGAAAAAATTAAGGCAATTTGAGAAATTATATCAACAAAACCAAATGATCATAACTTTATGATAACTAAAAGCATATGCAAGAGTCTAGTCACATGAATAATCAAATATAACCACTGATAAGTGAAACATTTTCACAATTTCGAGAATTCGACAATCTAAATAATAAAAAAAATATCAAATTTGCGTAGACGTGAAGAAGAGAGGGGGTGGAGACACTCACGTGCTCTTCCTTCCATTTTGATGGGGACAAAGGATCCTGCCAGAAGTTGACCTTCGGAGGTCCATGGTGATCTGCATGGAAATCAAACAATTAGACAAAACCCAAAAATTCTTTCCTTCTTAAAAATGCATCCAAATACATAAATGGATAAATGCACAAAGTTACGTGACCTAGATTTAATTTCCAGGTGAATTTTTGAAAATAAAAATAAGAACAAGAATTTCAGGTCTCAAATTATTTTTTGATTCCCCAAAGAAATAATATTTATATATATACATGTCTAGGAATGTATATGGACAATCTGTACGAATCTAAAAATGGAGGATAGACAAGGAAAGGAAAAGATTACCTCCACCACCGGCTAGACCACGCCTATGAATGAGAGAAGCGGTTTGAGAAGTCGTAGCAACTTTCGGAGAGCAAATTCGAGCCAGGTTCGCCGCTTGACGAGCCGCCGCCGTCCATGCTGCCATGATTTCGTTTAGTGTAGAAAGTGGAAGAGAAGCTGTGTGAAAGTACTAGACTGGGAATTGGGAAACAAGAAGCTGATGGAAATGAAATAGAACTATTGTAGTAAATGACGCAATGCTCCTTGTCTATTAGGGTAATAACCGCATCAGACAAATCCAAACGACACCGTTTGCATTTTGGGGCATAATAACAACGTGTAATTTTGGCCTGGTCTGGACTATTATCAAAATCCTGAAAAAGAAGTTAGATCCTTCAAAACATATCTTTCCCCCATTAACAATATTTTAAAAAGATTTTACAAATAACTCATTTTTTATTATTTGATTTTAATATTAAAAGACTATTATAAAATTAAAAATTTTTTATTTATAAAATTTTCATATTTTAAAACGTATTCTTAAAGAGAAAAAAAATTTATAAAAATAATAGGTTGCGGTAATTATTCTTAGTTGGTGATGGTCGGTGATTATTAGTGTAATAGACAATAATAACCACATGATCATGAATTAAAATGTATATTTATAAATTTTCTTTATTATAATAAATTTGGTAATATTCAGAAAAAATATTTTCTTTTAAAATAACTTTGGCCCCGTATTTATTTTGAGTTTTTTATTTATTAGAAACATGAAACAGTTTTTGATTACTTGTTTTTTGAAAACTATTTTTTTTCTAAAATTTATTTTTCTTTTTTTATTCGTAATGTGAAAAATTATTTCAATTATTAAATCCCTCTCTTATTAAGTCATTAAAGATTTTAGTTAATAATAAATTTTCTAAAAATTCAAAGTTTCAGATGAAATAATTAAAAAATTTTACAATTTAATTTTAAAATTTCAGTGTTATAGTAACTATAGATTATTATGTTGAATAAAAACATAATAGCCAAAAATATTATAATAAATAAATATTACTAAATGACATTAGATTTATATAGATAGAGAAAATAATAATAAATATAAAAATAATACTAAATAGAGAAAAGATAGAAAAAACTGAGAATTTGAAGAGAGATAAAAATATATGTTTATATATTTTACATGAATCATGAAACTTTAAATGTTATATTTATAACAAATTTCTTTATCTATCAATCTAAATTTGGTAATATTCAGAAAAAAAATATTTTCTTTTTAAAACTAACTTTTGGGCCCCGATTCTATTTGTCAGTCTGTTTATTATTAGAACACAATGGAAACAGTTTCGATTACTTGTTTTTTGACAAAAAACTATTTTTTCCTACAAAATTTATTTCTTCTTTTTTCTATTCGTAATGTGAAAAAATTATTTCCAATTATCTAAAATCCCTCTCTTATTAAGTCATTAAAGATTTTTTAGTTAATAATAAAATTTTCTAAAAATTCAAAGTTTCAGATGAAATAATTAAAAAATTTTTACAATTTAACTTTTAGAAATTCAACGTGTTATAGTAAACTATAGATATTATGTTGAATAAAAAAACATTAATAGCCAAAAATATTATAATACAATACAATATCTACAAATTGACATTAGAATTATTAGATACGAGGAAAATAATAATAACATATAAAAATAATCACTAATAAGAGAAACAAGCATAGAAAAAAACTGAGAATCTTGAAGAGAGATAAAAATCATACTGTTTAATATTTTTGGATAAACTAAAATGACATTAGATTATATAGATAAAGAAAAATAATCAGTAATAATAACAACAAAACATCAACAACTTAACTTATGCAGGATAAATCTTCATAAAATTATGACATTAGATTTATATAGATAAAGAAAATAATAGTAATAATAACAACAACATCAACAATAATTTTATGAGGATAAATCTTATAAAAATGAAAAAAATGAGAAAAGTAGAATTAAAAACAGAAATCACAATTCTATAAACTACTATTTGTGGTTTCATAATTTTCTCAAAAGTAAAGAAAAAAAAAATTAAATAAACAGGTTTTGTTTATTTTTTAAAGAAAAAATGAAAAACAAGAAATTTAATCGAAGATAAATGGGCACCTTAATTTCTAATATTTGCTGCTTACCATTTCTCAAAGCATCCAAATTTTGAAACCTTTAAAGAATACTTCTAATTCTTAATGTTACTATTAAAGGGACTAGCAGTCACCAGTCAGTAATCTTCAGCCTTTTAAGCGACTCTTTGTGATTTCTTATTATTCGTTACTAATACTGCAAAACAGTTTTGAAGAGACAAACAGAGATCCTGGTCAAATTTTCATATACAAAATGATCAAAAGATAACTCATTTCACTGGAAAATCTGACAGACAAAACACAGTAAAAGCTACAAAGTTCATATAATATGGACACTAATATGCGAATTTGTCTAAGAAAATCCTGAGAAATACAATACAGTTATTTTAATCTTTTGCAGATTCAGGCGTTATGATTATTACAATTAGCCCTATTTTACAGCCGAGATCGAATAAAAATTCTATTCTTTTCAGGTTCCAAAACATCCGAGCTCCTGTTGCCTTCATTTGGTTCCTTCTTCAGACCCTCTTTTCCCCTTACAAATTTAGCTGAAGTATCATTTTGCTTCTTCAACTTCACCATGCCTTCTGTTTCTTCTTCTTTTATCTGCATATCTTCCAATAATTTAACATCTTCAGGTTTCTTACAGTTTTTTAAGGAAAGAGAAGTGGGTGGATTCTTTAATCTCTCTTGCACGATCCTGTATAGTTTCTTTGGGCCTACAATATTTGTAAAAGGGAAAATGATGAGAAGTGAATTCAGGAATAACAAAATTGTAAAATGAGGTGCGCGCACTTGGACTCGAGTTAATATATTTAAACTAGAATCAAGGCCAGCAGCGATTAGGAATCAAATGTTAACAAAAATGGGAAAAGTTTTAGTCATCAGCATATCAAATGAAACTAAGAACACTTCATGTAATTTAGATGCTAATTCAAAATTGAGACAATTTTTCAGTGTGATTCTTGATTTCATCAGAAAAATCTCTTTTGAATTAGATATTTCAATAATCAAAAGTTCGTAACTTTTGGTTGGTGATCATAGTCCCCTAATGTGGTTCTAAGTCATGTGATTTTATGCTAGTATAAATAGCCAATGTGGTTCTAAGAGTAAAAGCAGAGTGGGCCAAAAGCATAAATTCGCT